CTGAAAATTATAATACAGACCATGATAGAATGTGTTTCAAATGTGAAGAAATGGGACACATTGCCATACATTGTATTCAAAGTGTGAGTGGGTCACAGTGACTATATGATTTGAAAGAGAATCATATAAAAATAGAAAAACTATATTTAGAGAATAATAAATATTTTGATATATATAGTTTTATTAAAAATTTTGTGGATATATATAATAAAATAGATAATCATTATGGGAATGATGATTATACATTGAAATTTAACTCGAATAAAAAGAGTTTTAAAGTAGGAAATTTTTATTGTCATTTTGATGAAATAAAAAAATTTAAATTTAACCAATATTCTGAATAAAAAGGATTATTGTAATCAAACAAGTGAGAAATATCCAGGAGAGATTTTTAATAAAAACATAAATGAGATTCAGAGATCTTTAAATTCTGAGATGAATTTAGGTATAAATATTAATTGTATTGAAAAAGAGATTAAAATAAATATCATTCAACCGATTAAATTGCCTAAAAATTTAATAACTGAGGGAGTTACTCCTGGAGTTATTTTTGAATAGGAGAACAAGATTTCTTTTGGATTTTTTAACATCAAATGGAAGTAATAAAATATTACCTTGTGAAAAGGCCATTATAAAATTTCCGGTGGGAAAATTAATATGCGGTCGTATTTTTGATAATAAAGATCAGAAATGGGAGAAAGGTATTGTACTTGAAAATTTTGGATTAAAAATGAGTAAGGTTAAATTTTGTGACGTAAATATTGGGATACGTCATAACGACCATATGAAAGTAAGGAATTAATAGTGAATACATTGATTGTTAATTTTTATTTATTATGAATACCATATAAATGTATATATTGGTTATAAATCATTAATATTTAAAAAAATACTCTATTAAATTAGATATATTTATTATAAATTATTTATTATTGGGAGAATATTAGTGAATATAGTTCCAATAAATGCTTAATTATTGAGAAAAATTAAGTTTAAATTGATTGGGAATTTAATTAGTGATTTATATATATTGTGCATATATATATATAAATTATGAAAATTTCTTAAATGTTCTCCATTAATTCTAAATTATTAATTATTGGGAAAATATGAGTAAATATAGTTTCAATAAATGCTTAATTATTGAAATTTATATAATGTTTTCCATTAATTATGGAATTATGTTTATAAATATGTGATTTAAAATTAATTTCGAGAAAAATATGAGTGAATATATAAAAAAATACTTAAAAATACAAACTTTTAAATATAATTAAATTCATATTTTTTTAAATTAACATGTACAAAAATGAGTTAAATAAAAGAAAAATTTTCCAGTGGGAATAGTGAATTTAGTGAGATAAAAATTTATTATTATAATCTTTGATAAAACAGTTATAATAGAAAATAAAAAAAAACTTAAATAAGATAATCGATCTCCAGTGGTGTGAAAAGAAATAAATATGAGTGTATATATATTTATTTTTGTTTAAAAAAAAGAAAGTAGTGTTCATAATTGGTTTAAAGGACCAAATGTGAAAGAAAAGAAAATATTAAAATATGTTAACAAAATAAGTGTATATATGTCACAAAATTTATTTTACAAATGTTAACAGAATATAGTATATATGTCACAAAATTGTATTTACAAATGTTAACAAAATATTATATACATGTCACAAATTATATTTACATATTATTACTAAATTTTACAACATTATATTTACATAATTATATTAAATTATAACAAAATAATAGCGTAGATCACAAATTTATTATAATATGTAGTTTAGTATAATTATGTTAACAAAATCATTTTTTTTATAATACAAATGTAAATGAAAATTCAAATTTCATTTGAGACCAAAATATTGAGTAATTATGTTGGGAAAGAAGTTATATTTAGATTCATATATTTTGATTATAATATTTTGAAAATATAATTATCATATATGTTACATATAACCCGGATGTGTTGGAAGATAAGAAAATGATTGAAATATGGGAGTAATGTTGACCAAGAGCTATGACACAAATGAAAGGCTTGAAGATTATGAAGGAAGGATATCAAATAAATGAAGATTTGGAGATTATGAAAATGAAGCGAATATACGAAATTATATTTAGGGATAATGGAACACGTGGCCTATGAAGGGTGGGCGTGTTGTAGTTTTGTATTATTATGATATATATTTGTATTATCGAGAATTGATATTCAAACACTTGGTATTTTTTTGTTTACTTTTGACTTTTGATAAATATATTATACGAGATTAATTTTTATGGTTTTATAAAAAAATACAAAAAAAAACTTTTATGAGATGAAAATTATTTAATTTGATGTTTTACTTTGAAAATGGACTATTGGAAATTTTGTGATTTGAATAGAAATAAAGAAAAGGAAATTATATAAAGAAATATAAAACTAGGCTTGCTAATTTAGCTAAGGTTCTTTGTATACCTGCAACCAGTACACCCAGCAAAGAATTTTTTCCATTGCTGGATTAATACTCAATGCAAAAAGGACTTCTTTATGTCCCACCAATCTTGATAAAATTCTATTTATTCATGATAATTATAATTTAGCTAAATCTGAATTCTGATTTAGTATATTTCTTACTTAATATTTTGTTTGCATTCCAAATATATATTTGTTATAATAAAAATCAATAGAATATTACTAATATGTGTTGTTTATGTGACTCTGATCTGAGTGAAAATGCAATTCCTTAGTCTATTTCTGAGAATGAGAAAATACATGAATTTAAATTGAAGTGAGACAGGAAATAATTTAAGAAATAAACTATGTTAACAATGTGTTAGAAAAGAACGCCAAATTATAAAAAAATGTAATACATTGATTTATAAATTAAATTTATTTAAAAAATTTTTTTTAATAAATATCGCGCCAGGCGGTGGCGAAATCGGCGCGCCGCCGAACGCCGATAAAAAAATTTTAAAAAACCGCCGCTGTCAATTGAGACATCGGCGCACAGGTCTAGTTGCACTACATATATCAATTATGGCTTATTTTATAGCCATAATTAAACTCTTGCACTAATTTCAAATATTTTTAATTTATATATTTTAAATTGCAGTTAAAAATTTGTTAATAGATTTTTAAAATGATAGTATAAATATTTTTACAAAATTACAGATATTTTGTAAAGACTACCAATAAATGTTCATATAAAAATGTTAGGGTGGTAAATAAAAGTTAAGTAGGAAAAATGCTTAAAATAAAATTAGCGCTAGATGGCATTAATAATTTTAAATAGCTTTAAACTTAATTTTTTGAAAATATAAGACATCTACATTTATTTTAGCATAATAAAATATTGAATAAAATCGCATTGACACAAAAATAAAATTTCCACTAAATAACGCAAATAATTATAAATAGCAGTTCTTAATGAATCAATTCATAGTAAAATTACTTATAGTATAGAATAGTTATGGTGATTTCCTTAAATTTAATTTGTATACATTTCGGATACTTCACGAGTTAAATATATTATTCCTGTAGTGGTCAAATGGTCAACAACAGTTAGAATATCTTTTCTCGGCAGGTATTGATGGATATAAACGGACTAAGAAGGTCCATTTGTAAAAATATTGACTTTACTTCATCAGCACTAAATCATTAGAATATATGTCATTCACCATTTATTATCATAAAAATATGTTACAAACCCAATATCATTGATTGATATTTCGTCTATTCGATTTTGGATATTTTGTGGTGTGGTTTGAACAGCACTGAATATTTTTTCGAATATATTTGTGTAAGGTAACAAGATAAACTGCATGAATTTTTTCTGTTTGAAAACCAATCCTTCAAAAGTTCTTGCCCCTCTTGGAAGGCTGTAAACTGACCCGAGCAACTAAGTGTGTAACAATTCCCCCTATTCTATCGCAAACTCTTTTCAATGCGCAGTAGCAAAGAAATGTCATACTGCTGGGATAAAGAAATGTACCTGATGATAATACAAATTTATAATTTTCTCCATTATTGGGACGTGGATCCATCGCGTAATAATAAATGTATTTATGCTACAATAAAAAGCAAATTCTTAGAAAATTTTTTTTTGAAATAAATGAAATAAGCATTTATGTTCCAGAGAGTGGTATATGGCGACATAACTTATAATTTAAATCATAATTAGCTATTTTAAATGCACTACCTAGCGGAAATTTTATTTTTGTGCCAAAATGAAATTTTATTCAATAAATATCATATTTTGGAATATAAAAAAATGTAGATTGACTTATATTTTCAAAAATTAAGTCTCAAGCTATTTAAAATTATTAGGGCTCTTGAGCGGTAATTTTATTTTAAGTATTTTTACTATTTAACTATAATTCTACCACAAATTTTAATATAAACAGTTCTTGGTACTCTTTACAAAGTATCTAAAATTTGGAAGAAAAAAAATTTATACTAACATTTAAAAAAATAAATTACAAATTTTTAACCGCAATTCAAAAATATTAATTTTATTCAAAATCCAAATTTTAAAAAATCATTTTTTTTGAAAAATAACCAAGCAGAGCGACTTTGAGACCTTCTCGTAGAGTTGTGAGCTAATATTTTGGATTCGTCAATTACAACAATTTATTCTTATATACCAAATTTTAGAAAAATCTGAGAGATCGGGTTGTAAAGTAATTTATTTGATATGAAATAACCTAACCGTTGCATTTATAGAGTAGAGTAACGTGCCAAACACTGAGTACAATAAAGTAATGATTATGAAAATAAAATATGGAATTAATAAGCGATGTTTTTGTAATTTGAAAATTATCAGTTTATGTTTTGAACTCGGTCTGATGATTAGCTAAAAAAGTGAAAAGTATCCTTTTAAATTAAAAAATCATTTTTAAATATCAAGATATTTGTAAAGTGGTCAACAAAAAATATATGGAGAGTTAATAAACAACCTAAATAATAGTTTGTTAACATTCAGCTAAAAAAATGTTTTAAAAGATTATATTGTAACTTTGCTTAAGTTGTAATGGGAGAATCTGATAGCAGTTTCGATATCATCCTTTCTCTGTTTAAAACAAATCATTATATTTTTCCCATAAATTTTGGAGGTTGATTCCTGTAGCATGGAACACAATTCATCATATATGTATCTTTTAATTATTATAAAAAGGCAAAATTGGTATTAATGAAAAAGTACAAATTTAAACTTGGATTTCATCATATGAATTTGGCATTTGTCCCATTCACCACATTCAAAATACCAATTGCCCATAGCCCAGTAATAGTAAGCCTGTTTCAAAATAAATTTAAATAGTTTGGATTCTTGATTAGAGATCCCTATCATTAAACAAATTGTTTAAAAAATATACATAATATTTTAATTTGGGTAGAATTTATCATACAAAGTTTAGGCCAATTTTTTTATTAAAAACCCTGAAATGGGGCTGACTTTTTCAAAAAATTCAAGAGTAGATCTTTAAAAGTGGAAATTTATATAACCAAACCTTATAGTTGGATATTATCTTAAAACCGATTTATGGATAAAAATTAATTATGAATAGGACGTGAATAATATATTAATAAAATAAACATTCCAATGAAGGATTTATCTTCGTCAACCCATTTCCCTGGAAATCTGCTGGTCCAAATTTTTAAGTATTCACTCTTTTCTAGGGTGATATATACCTTTTTTTAATATTTTTCTTCATTGATTTATACATATATTTTTTTTTAATTTAATTTTTTAATACATCCTTATTTGTTTTTTTAATATAAAATTTTAATTCAACAAGGAAATAACAATTTATTTGTTGTAATGTTTAACCCTTCACTACAAAGGTGGGGTAAATACGACCCCACAACTTTTATAATAATTGTAATACAAAACCTAGAAGATATTCCGACCTGGTTTTTTCAGTAGTTTAATATTTTGTAACAAGGAATACAACTTCCAAATTTCATGATTATTGATTTGATAGTTTTTGAGATATATGCTATTTGTTGAGCTTGGGGTAAAATATACCCCACCTAAGTAATGACGTAATTTTTTTTTTAAATCCAATTTTTTTTTTGTTACTAATTATATTTATGTATGTCAGGTTAATAAATATAATTGAAAAAAATATAATTATATCTATTTTTTGATTGAGGAAAGTCACCACAGATAACTGGTTTACCAGTTATGAACTTGCTATACATTTATTAAATTCCCATTCATTAACAATAGTAGGAACTTTAAGAAAAAATAAAAAGCAGTTTCCAACATCATATAATTTTAAAAAGAAAGATATTTGTTCAAGTTTATTTGCCTGCTAAGATAATATGACATTAGTATCATATGTACCAAAAAAGTATAAGCATGATGCTTTCTACCCTTCACTATGATAACAATATTGATACATCAACTGGGGATTTGAAAAAACCAGAAATTATCACATTTTACAATCTCACCAAGGCTCGTGTTGATGTTGTGGATCAGCTATGTTCAAATTATTCAATATCCAGAATAACGATCCTATGGCAATTTTTTATAATTTGTTGAATATATCTTGCATAAATTCTTTAATAATTTATAAGTCCAATAATTTAAAGGAGATAAATAGATCAAAGTTTATAATATTCAGGGTTGGGCAAATTTTCAAAAAATTGTATTCGGATACAGATACTTTATAAAATTTTGTATTTAAGATACAAGATAATAGATACTTTAAAAAAATTTCAATAAGATACAAGATACTTGTACTTTTTTTAAAAAAAAGTATCTAAGATACAAGATACTTTTTTAAAAAAAAACTTTAAATATTCAGAATCAAAGTGTATAAAGCTTTATTTTCTTATCTATAATTTATAAAAAAATATTTAAAATAAATTGTAGAAAATAACAAATTTATTATAGATAATGCGATATTCCATTATATAATTAGTAAATAATAATAAATCAGCATTATTTTTTAATATTATTAATTTTTCAAATGATTTATCGTTCAATCTTTGACGATTTGGTCTATTAACCATATTAGCAAAGCTAAATAATCTTTCAACGGGGGCTGAAGAGGGTAATTTATATTTAATAAATATTTCTTTTATATATTTATAACTATTTCGCCTGTCATCTTTCATATAATTTAGGACCTCTATTTCAATATCATTTATTGAATTATTAGAATTGGATGTGGTACTTTTAAGGCAAAAGTAATCATCATCTTCATCAATTGAAGATTTTGTTGAAGTATTAATTTCAATATTATTTTTAAAAACAATTAAAACTTCATGTAATAACAAATCCTGAAGGTATTTTTTTCTTTTTCACCATCAATCCAACGATTTTTAAAATAGGGATGAGAATAGTTGCCAAAAATGCACTTTTAAAATTGTTATCAAAATCATATATATTTTTAAATCTTTTATTTAAATAATTTTCTATGGCAATAGCTAATGGTTTGCAAAATTGTAGAATGGTTTGAATTAAGTTTGTAATTTTTTTTTACGACATTTAAATTGGAGCTGATTCTCCATAATAGCAGTTGATTTCACTCTATTTTGTCAATCGCTATAGCCAATGGGGCCATTATATTGCAATATTCTTCTAAATATTGAATTTCAATATCTCTTAATTTAGGAAATTCTAATTTTTGACATAATTTAGGAAGTCAGCCTTGAAATTTTAATAAACTATGAAGACTATCATACAAACTATTCCATCTAGTGAAGGTGTAACTAATTGTTTTCCTAAAACTGCTTTGATAAGTTCTGCAGTTTTAGGCCTATTATTTGCATTCCATAGTTTAGTACATATAGCTATTGCAGGATGATGAATTTTAGAAATGTTAGGAGAATCCTTAATAGCTCTATCGACATCTGTTGTGGCAATTAGACTTATCGTATGGCACAAACAATGAATGTGTTGAGGCAATGTTATTGAGGCTTCTTTAGACCCTTAAATAAACAAATAAATAATTTTATTTGAATAAAAATTTTTACAATTTACAATATCATAATAAATTTTAAAGAAGTATCAAATAATACTTTCAATGATTTCGAATTCTATACATTCATCATCATTGATGTCAAAGTCATTCTCAGAGTTGGGCAGGTCCTCCGGAAAAAGAATCTAGATACAGATACAGATTCTTTATAAAAAAATGAATCTTAGATACAGATACTAGTATCTTGTTCAAAATATCAAAAAGATACAAGATACTTGTATCTTTTATTAAATTAGAGTATCTTAAATACAAGATACTTTTTAATTATCATTACCAATTAAATTAGAATAGTTTATAAAATACAATTTTTATTATTTATATGTGAAGAAAATAGTATTACACATATAATAATGAAAATTTGCAATAATTAATAAAATATTTGTTGATGCATTAATTATAATAACCAGGGATTTTAATATTAATTTTTGTCCATTAATGGCTTAAAGAGGGAAGGGAGAGTAGTATATTTAATGGGAGTGGAAAATGTGCAAATAAGAAAAAAAAAAATCAAATGATTTATTAGAATTTGCAGGTTATTTTTTGTGTTGTTTTAAATATGGCTTATATTCGGAGTATATGGCTAAATGGAATCTCTAAAAAAAATTATACTAGTTTTATTTTATTCATTATATTTAATAAGTATTTATCATTACTTGTTTGTGATATTTATGTATTTTTTAAATTAGTTTTATTTTCTAGTATGACTTATTAAATCTTGCATTTGTAATATCATATATATATAAATATCATTTAAATCTCTTTTCAAATTTTTTTAATATATTTCTTGCAAAATCATTAATTATATATAAAAAATATGAAAATAATGTACAACATTATATTATTTAATTATTAAATATATAACAATTTTCTTTAATGCATTTTAAATTGATTAAATTTTGTAGATAAATACTGTAATATAATTTTACTTATATCATAAATAAATAAAAGTAACTAATAAAGTTAAATTATACCTTATTATAATTATTTTATTAAGAGCCTTTTAAAATTATCTAATATTATATATCAATTGTAGCTTAAATAATTCCTCTAATAAGAACTTGCTAAAATAATTAAATAAAAAAATATATTAGGGATGTGCCGATATTTTTTATCAAACCGATATTTCACCCATTTTAAAATATCAATTATCGGTCAATATTATAAAATTTGATCCAATATAAAAATGGCTTCTTTAACAAAAATAAAATGTTATAAAATTTAAAAAAATAGTTATATCTAAAATCATTTATTTTTATAAATAAAATCGAAATCCATTTTTATGTATATTTTTTTAATAATAATATTTAATTAATAAACATTCTACCATATTGTTATTTTTTTGCGCATTCTGTATATGAAAGTGTGCGATAATCTCTTCAGAATCTGTTTTTAGTGAAGCTGGTGATATTGACAGTTACTATCGCTGTAAGCTGACCTCTGATAAATTGGAAATATTGGTATTAGTAAAAAGAAATCTTCGCTATATTAATGTTAAATATTATTTTAAATATTTATTTCCAATTTCATAATATAATTAATTGTTTATTAATTAATATGTATATAGATTAATGTTATTACTTGTTATATAAAAGTGATTTAACAATAAAAATATTTTATATACTTTTAGAATTGCAATTGAATTGAATATTAACTATAACTGATCATTATAATATATTTAAATGACATTATGGTATAATTAAATTATAGATGTTATACTAATAAAAATTATATTAAAAATTAAAACCATTGATATCTTTACAGAATACAAAATTAGATATGATATCGGATCTGTACGGCCGATATCAATTGAATATCGGATCTCGACCTCCAAAAAGTGGTATCAGTACACCTCTAAAAATTATATATCCAAAATGATTTTAATTTGATAATCAACCATCTTCTATAAAAAATTTTAATAACAATTATCTAAGAGGGACTTAAGTATAGGTATTATTATGTTAATAATTATAAAATAAAAATGTATAATATACTTTAATATGTTTAACAAAGTTTGTAGAGGAGTTTGTTCAACCTTTAATAACTTTTTTACTTGTGCAATTTTGACATTCGGCTTGTACCCTTGTCCTTTTTCACATGAATTAATTTATAAAATTTTCCATCTAGAATTTAAAGATTTGGATTTGATTCAGGAGAACCTATCTCCATAATTTCATCTTCACTACTATAAATGTTAAACATTCTACAGATTAAAAAATATTTCATATAAAATAGAACCTTTACTTATTTAGTTTTGGTGTTGTTATTTTTAATCTTTCTATCTTTGTGATCTGTAAAATTTCCAACT